TTGAGACAGAGTCTCGCTTTGTTGCCCAGGCTACAGTGAGTGTCGTGGCATCAGCCTAGCTCGCAACAACCTCAAACTCCTGGGCTCAAGAAATCCTTCTGCCTCAGCCTCCCGAGTAGCTGGGACTACAGGCATGCACCACCATGCCCGGCTAATTTTTTCTATATACATTAGTTGGCCAATTAATTTGTTTCTATTTATGGTAGAGACGGGGTCTCGCTCTTGCTCAGGCTGGTTTTGAACTCCTGACCTCGAGCAATCCGCCCGCCTTGGCCTCCTAGAGTGTTAGGATTACAGGCGTGAGCCACCACCCGGCCAAGGCATATAAATTTTAACATGTGCCAGAGAGAATCACAGAGTGATTATCCTATATCTGTATTTTGCTCAGAATTTGAAAATGTTTTTTTCCTAGTGGAAATTGAAAGATGGATCTGTTGTTATTCTTCCTTGGTTAGCTCTGTTTCACTGGTGTGCTAATCACCTAAAGAGAGAGACATTACATTGACAAAAGAATACATTGAAAGGTCTAGGGTTAAGTTGGTAGGTGGAATTAAATCATGAAGATTTCCCAAAACTATAGTCAGAATAGGAGAAGTGTGACTTAGAACAACAGAAAAGTTAAGAATCGCATATATAGGACAATTCCAACGTGGAGTTTGAGAGTGGCAAAGTGAAAGCTTTATTATGTTGTACATGGAACGGACATCAAGAAGTAACTTGGGGTTAAAGGGTAAGAGCTAGGGTATAGCAGAACACCAATAGGAGAGGGTTTGTTGGGTGGAAATCCTAGAAAGTTGGTCTGAAATGTGCCTGGTTCCCAAATACCTGCTTATTCTGGATCAGAAGTAGCTACAGAGCCATTTTGTTTTTTCTTATTTTCTCAGCTCAGCCTCTAGAAATTATTTTGAGTTGATAGAGCTTTGATAGGACCCAGAAATCTATATGAAAATAAATACATCCCCAAGGCATTCTGATTGCAGCCTTGCAGCCATCCCGAGAGAGGAATCACTGAGCTGGAGGATGTTGGAGTGTCTAGGGAGAGCACTGGATGCCTGCATGCAGCAGTGACGGGTTGTGGTTAACAGGTGGACAGTTTCAGTGGCTATATCCAAAGTGGCATAGGGAGGGGAACAGCTGGGAGTGAGCAAGAAGAAGGACACTGTAATGGTGTGCAAGTAAAGGAACAAGGGGGTTGACTGTGGGGACAAGCAAGAAAAATAAATGAATATTTTGTTATGAAAGAAAACAGTGTTGGGTCTTCATATCTGAGGTATTCTGAAATTTCCAAGCAACTTTCAAACATGAGTTGGCCTTGAAACAAAATTGCTGAAATGTTTTAGCTTTGTCTAATAATCCCTGCGTTTTTTTTTAAAAAAAAAAAGCCTTGATGAGCAGCTTTGACTTCAATGCGTACATTCCTCAGCACACACAATCATATCATGAAGTCACCCAGTTTTTTGAACAAAAGCTGGTGGGGTGGGGACATGTCTCATTTCCTGCCCTTCCCAGAGCTAGTTATTGCTAGAGTTTATTACAGTTTGCTCTGAGCCAGAAGAGAGTCTTTAGCTCCAAAACCTACCCTGCAAAATGCTTTCTCTAGTTTCCTTGCAGAGGAGTGTGTAGGTGAGGGGACAGAGGCACAGAAACTTACTGGCTTATAAGAAGGTGAGTCCAAATACCTGCTCAAATACACTGTAATCCAACATAAAACCTCTGCTGGCCGGGAAGGCATGCACATCAGTCTGGTCACTCAGAAGTTGGTTGTACAGTCCTGTGCAAAACATTCTGGTCGCTCTTACTTTCATATCCTTACACTCCTAGAGAGAATATGTGGGGCCAACCACAGTGGCTCATGCCTGTAATCTCAACACTTTGGGAAGCCAAGGCAGGAGGATTGCTTGAGGCCAGGAGTCTGAGACCACTGTCTCTACAAAAAGTGTTTTAAAATTAGCTGGGCATGGTGGCACACCTGTAGTCCCAGCTACTTGGAAAGCTGAGGCAGGAGGATCACTTTAGCCCCAGGAGTTCAAGTACGCAATGAGCTGTGATTACACCATTGCATTTCAGCCTGAGCAACAGAGTGAGACCTTATCACAACAACAACAAAAAAAAAAAAGAGAGAGAGAGAGAGAAAGAGAATATGTGGGTCTGGTTGCCAATAATAAACACCCACCACTATCACCAAAACAAAAACAAAACTCTACACCAAACTTCTTTTGAAACTCCAATTCAGAATAAGTAGAAAGAAGAGATAAAGCCTTTTCATGTTTGCTTTAGGTCTGCTTCCCATTCCTGGGGAGCAGTTGCCTGCCAGCCTTTATTGAGTGCCTGCTGTATGCTAGGCACTGTGCTGGCGTTGGGAATTCAGCAGGGAATAAAAACAAGCACACAGTTCTTGGAGTCTCAGTTCTGTTCTGTAAGCACCTCTCAGTGCAAAATCTGATGGGAGAAATTGGGATCAAATCGTAGGAGACTGAGAAGGGGTAAGGGACAAATAGCAAATTCAACTGCTCAGTAAACAATAATTAAATGTTAAATCAGAAAAATGCCTGAGAAGAGGCCGATTTGGTGTGAGTGAAGGTATATCATGAAAATGTCCGGTTTCATACTGTTGCAGGTGGCCCTTTAAAACATTCTTCAGGACTTTGGCATCAAAATCATGAGCATATTCTAAT